GAATTCCCTAGGCTTTTAATATTGGGACAGCTGTAATAACTCAAAGTAGAAAGAATCCTTAAGTACATTCTACAAATGCAATTCTAAATACTGCCTAATCCCCGGCTGGTTTTGGTTACATGTTAAATGATTCTCCATATAACAAGCTTATATTCTGGTGAATTAGAACACAGTCTCAAGGCTTAACACTTCTTATACTGTATTTTTATAAAGCCAGGGGGAGTTATTACAGAAGTTGGAATCATGCTTTTTTTAAACTTAGGCTCCTTATTAGCTGTCCGAAGTGTTTTATTCCTGTGTCACTTGTTGGCACTTCTGGCTCTCCAAACACATTTTCACAACTGTAATTTATGCCCTTGTTTCCCACAAATTAAAGCTGGAGTTTTTGTAAATATTTTATTTATATGTATTTTGAAAGGTAGAGAGAGCAAAGGAGCGATCTGTAAAGAGATCTTCCATCCTCTGGCGCATTCCCCAAATGTCTACAACCACCAGGGATGGGAGAGACCAAAACCAGCACCCTGGAACTTAACACGATCACTCCTGTGAGTGACAGCGTCACCTGCTGCCTCCCCGGCTTTCCAAGAACACAAACCGGAATGGGGAGTGAAGCCAGGACTCAAACCCAGGCACTCCATCATGGGAAATGAGTGTCTCAAGTGCCATCTTAACCCCAGTGCCAAATGCCAAGTACTGTGAGGGTAATTAAGCTCCCATCTGAACACCTCACCCCTCAAGTATGGGCATCCCATTCCCAACGGACAGACCTGGCACTTCTCCCCCTGCTGGTCTCAAACCAGCTGTTGAGGCACGCGTTGGTGTGAGCTATACCTGTCTCTGAATTAATGACAGAGTGCTGTTAGCAAGGAGGTGCTGGCTAATTAGCCATTTGTGACTGCTCTGACCCACAGAAAGCTTGGAAGGCCACCCGGACCCCGGGGATAACTCACATTATCCCCGGGCTGGGCCTGTGTGGCGTGCACTTCTCGGGGCCTGTGACGTAGGGGCTGTCTGTGCTGCCCATGGGACAGTGGCATCTCTTCCTCTCCCTGCTTGCTCTCCCCTCTCTGCTTGCCCCTGCGAGATGGAGGGCACATCTCCGAGAGAGGAAGCCTCAGTGGCTGTTCCCCCCCTGCCCTCGGGGGTGCGCTTTGTTCTCACACCTTAGCTACATCAATGCTCGTGAATTATGAAGCACATGTTTTGCAAGGCGGTCCTATGCTTCACACAGACTGCCTTTTTTTTTTTAAAGGGAAAAATTATTGTGAAATTAACCTGGAGAGTAGGAAGCAGTGCCGTGCAGCGCCATGGGCACATTCTGTGGGGTCTTCTTGTGAAAGGAAGCTTCTCGATTCATTTCCAACATGGCACGACAACTCACTCAGGCCAGGGCCGCGGGCCCTTTGTCCCTCTGTACGAGCGGTGAGCCTTGGTGTCTTAACCTCCTGGGACTGCTGGGCGATTCTGCGATGAGTAAATCCTGGAAACACTCGCTCAAAAAGCAGACAGTGTTCTGAATGGTGCGCCACACATGCCCCAAGCCAACCTAGACAAGGAGTATTTTCACACACACAAAAAGGCAAACTTTCTTTTCCGAGCGTTTTCTTTTTGAGGTTGAGGAGCTAAAATCAAACCCTGTGACACACACCTATGACAATAGCACAGGGTTCTGGCAGTTGGGAGGGCCCTGGGTTGAGATGCAGTTGCTGCAACAGGATACGATGGGATCAGCAGCTCAGGGCCTGTACGACATGGCAGTGCTGAGCAGCTGCCAAGGACTCCCTGAGGCAAGGCTGTCTCCTCCCGGGTCAGGACCACCTCCACCAGCCAACCTCTTAACAAAGCAAGCTCATGGGCCTGGTGCAGTGTAGTCTGGCAGCTAAAGTCCTCGCCTTGAATGTACTGGGATCCCATATGGGCACCGGTTCTAATCCCAGCACCCCCGCTTCCCTTCCAGCTCCCTGCCTGTGGCCTGGGAAAGCAGTCGAGGACGGCCCAAAGACTTGGGATCCTGCACCTGTGTGGGAGTCCCAGAAGAAGCTACTGGCTCCTGGTTTTGGATTGGCTCAGCTCTGGCCGTTGGGGCCTTTTGGGGAGTGAACCAGTGGATGGAAGATCTTCCTCTCTGTCTCTCCTTCTCTCTATATATCTGCCTTTTCAATAAAAACAAACAAACAAACAAACAAACAAACAAATAAAACAAAAACAAAGCAAGCTCATTTATGGGAACAGGCTCGTCCAGGGCTAGGACAGGACCTCTGCCTCTTCAGCACACTGAAGCTGAAAATCAGCAGACAACTTCACCTTCTTACTCAAGGCTGGATCCAGGCACCCGGAATAGCCGCCACTGACACAGCTCACTAAATACCTGTTGAATGAATGAAGGCCCTAAGGGGTTGTGGCACACAGAGGCTCCAATTAGGATGCTTTTCCAGACCATCTAATTGAAAATGCTGTCATAACCTAAGTATGATGGTACACCCCGAAGGGACCTTCCTGGCCAGGCTAGGGACAGGCAGAGCTCTATCGCTGTTCAACAGCCTCAGAATATTGTCCCCACCTGAGCAGGCCTTTACTTAACCGCCAATGCCGTTACAGAGCAAGCACCAGAGCAAGCAGCTGAGCCTCACAGTTCTGGACACCTGAAAAACAAGGGAGTAATGAGACTGAGGTATAAATAGGATTCTAGAGCCGGTGGGTGAGTAAATCTGTTACCTACTGATAACTGAACCTTACAGCTTTATAGGCTGCACAGCCAAGAGATCAAATTTCCTTCCTAATCCCTGGAGCCACAGGAAATAGAAGGCAAACGAAATAGAAGTATTATCTTGCTTTTGTACATACACCATGTTGAGACTGTTTAAATGATTTATTAAGAACCCACTGAATTGTTTAACAGGTGAGTGGCAGAACAAACAGGCACATCTACGCAATGAATACTACTGAGACAGAAAGAGGGGAAAGCCATTGATACAGCACAGATGAATCACAAATGCACTCTATAAATTCAAAGACGCTGCTCCTCAAAGGGTCACATATTGCATGGTGGTTTTGGTGACTTTCAGTGTGGGAGAACTCATCAGTGACAGCCCAATTATGGCGGGAGTAGGACCAATGGTAACTACAAAGGGGTAGCACCATGGAATTTTGGGTTTTTTTTTTTTTAAGATTTATTTTATTGCAAAGTCAGATATACAGAGAGGAGAGACAGGGAGGAAGATCTTCCTTCCAATGATTCACTCCCCAAGTGACCGCAACGGCCAATACTGCACTGATCCGAAGCCAGGAGACAGGAGCTCTTCCAGGTCTCCCACATGGGCGCAGGGTCCCAAGGCTTTGGGCCGTCCTTGACTGCTTTCCCAGGCCACAGGCAGGGAGCTGGATGGGAAGCAGGGGTGCTGGGATTAGAACCGGCGCCCATATGGGATCCTGGAGCATTCAAGATGAGGACTTCAGCTGCCAGACTACAGTGCCGAGCCTAGAGCCGGGCAATCTCTTGGGATGGAATGACACTGACTCCTGATTGAACACATCTTACCACTTGTAACCTGGCAGCAAAAGATAGATTTACTATAAGCAAATTATATGGAAAAAAAAAAACCTGATTGCACATGAGATAGTTGCATGTCCATGTTTGTAGCAGCTCAATTCACTCTAGCTGACCATCGAAGACTGACAAAGTGTGAGCCAGAGAGAATAAAATCCTGACACCTGCAATGCAATGGCTGCAACTGGAGATCAGTATGCTGTGTGAAGTGCTCCAGACCCAAAGGAACAAATAGCATGTTTTCTTCTATTTGTGGCAGTCAATGTAGAGATGTAAAACTTGTATGGATATCATACCATTTGATATATGATTATAAATATTGCTTCACTGGGTTCATACTACATCCGTGACAGACAATATACCACAGTTTCACTATGTTTCAAAAAACGCAGCGGCCAGTGTGTTGGTATAGCTGGTAAAGCTGCCGCCTATAATGCTGGCATTCCATGTGGGCACCAGTGTTTTCCAGTTGCTCAACTTCTGACCAAGCTTCCTGCTAATGTGCCTAGAACATGGAAGGATGGCCTAAGTACTTGGGGTACTGCCCCCACGTGGGAGAACCTGGAGGACGCACCTGGCTAAGCTGGACTCAGCCCTCGTCGTTACAACCGAGTAGGTCAGCAAATGGAATATTCACTTTGTCTCCTTACCTCTCTGGAACTCTGCCTTTCAAGTAAATAAACAATCACAAGGAAAAAAAAAGTCTAAATAAAAAAGGGTGGAAACTGTGAGGACTCTTGGTGTTTTGTTCATATATATATGATGAAATATAAAAAAACATTAAAATAAAAACTTTTTAAATTAATATATGTGCTTTTTAAAATTACTGGAAAGGCAGATCTACAGAAAGGAAATACAGAAAGATCTTTTGTCCACTGATTCACTCTCCAAGTGGCTGCAATGGCTGGAGCTGAGCCAATCTGAAGCCAGAAGCTTCTTCTGGGTCTCTCACGTAGGTGCAGGGTCCCAAGGCTTTGGGATGTCCTCTATTACTTTTCTAGGCCACAAGCAGGGAGCTGGATGGGAAGTGGAGCAGCCAGCATATGACCTGGCAGATGGAAATTGAGGATTTAGCCACTAGGCTATCGTGCCAGGCCCATGTTTGTTCTTAATTTCACTGTTGGTTATCAGTATGCACAAAGGGGGAAAAAAAACCCCACCTAGTTTATCTACACCCTTATGTGCATTTCTTGGCATGCATACCGAATGTCAATAAAACGCTTTTAAAAAAACCCTCATTAACTACAGCAAAAAAAAACAAAAGATGAAATTTCCAGATGTAAATCATATTGGAAAAGAATCTGCTATGTGTACTGATAGACAACCATCCGTGAGAGCCCCCAAGACGCTCCCCTTCATCACTGCCGAGTCCCGTGTGCAGGCCTTCGGAGTGAGGCTTCAGCGAGCTCCAACTGCAGGCTCATACCTGTGCCAGATGGATGCAAACTGGGAATCATTTTTTAGAAAATTCCTTTATTATAGTGCCAGTAACTTTCAGCAGTGACATAATGTAACAACACATTTAGCAACCTTTTACACCATGCAGTAAATAACAAAGTGTCTCTCTGAAAATATTTCATTATAGGAACAGTATTCCTCTAGCGCCAAGGCCGTTTCCCTCAAGGCTAACGGGCCCCCCCCTTCTCTTTCTGGGTATTTTCCTTTGAATACAAATGAAAGGATTTGTCACTTTAACAAATCACCGATTCTAAGCGGGATCTCTTAGGAGGTTTTGAACTGAGGTTGGCAAGATCTGAAATGGATTTTTAAAATTTTAAAAAAATACTAATTTTAAGACAATTCTGGGAGAGCCCAGAAACAGTAGAAGTCACTTTTGTTAAGTTGATAGACACATTCACTACGATTTTGCTTCAGAAACAGATTGTCTAAGGCCTGGCTGTTATTTCCCTAGAGCCTCATTGTTTCTTAACATCCCTTGGTTTTGGTTATTGCAAAAAAATGGGGCTCTAATCAGAAATAACTCCTTCCACTGCCAAGTATCCCCTGTGAGGCTTCTAATTGCACTTCCCATATCCAGAAACTTCCAACATAGATCTCATAGGCCGAGGTGAATATTGTTTCTTTCCAGCTGACCATTAGCACAGCTGGATCGGCTCCTTACTAATTTAGCGATACCTGAATCAAACCATCACAGCATTGAGATTAAGCCAAATACGCTTAGCCAAGAGGTTCCCACTGACCTCACAGAGAAACAAAGGGTTAACACTGCAGTTCCCACTAAGCTGCCTAAAGGCTTGGCTGCCGACCAGCTAGCTGATAGAGAACAAGACTGTCAATTCCAATCAGTTACACTCCTTTCTCCTCGGGTTTCTGCTGAATTATGCAGCTAGAGGGACCTCAGAGTCCTGGGGGGGTGGGACCGTCTCCCACCTGAAAGTGAATCGAAATCCCTACAGATGCATTTCAGGGAGCCCTCCAACACTCCACGCATGTAGTGGCTTTAGAAGCCGGGAGAGGCTCAGCACAGCTTGGAAACACCCACAACCACACGTGCTCTGGGGCCGACTATGGCTAAGTCAGACGTTACGTGCGGCTTGCCAGTGTGAGCCAGTCCTGTTGGAGATGATAGCTGTTAAGTACTTTCATGGAACTGTGCTACACCGTGGCAAAACGGAAGAAGATCCCCATACAGCACGTATACAAACATTCATAATTCTAGTTTGCTTTGTTCATCTTAGACTTTGGTTCTGAAACGCTAGTCTCAACACATGAAAATGACGTGGTCTCTGCATGTTTTGTGAAGAAAACTCAAAAGTGAATCAGGACAAGGATGTGTCATAACAGGACACAGAATGCTGCACAAACAAAACCTAACTTAGATATAAACACATCCCTACCTTGCACCCCTCACGTCTCCTCATGACCTGGCGAGAGCAATGCCAAGGGTCTTTCTCTCCAGGGTCAATGTTGCTACTGAAGTCCAGTGCTCAGGGCTCCGGACAGTCCTGCCTCCTGCCAGAGACACCACTGTCTGCTAAGGTCCCGAGAACAGGGCAGCTGCTGTGGCTTGACTGCACACATCCACACTACCAACTGGACTCAGAGGACTGCCATCCAGGGAGGTACACCCGGCCCCCCAGCTCCATCCCTGACCCGGATCTCATCTTCCCCAGACCTGCAGAAAGCCACAATGTGCTCCACAGGCATTGTCGGGGGATACTGGTGAGGATCGCAGGAGAAAAGTCATACAATGAGGCAATGCCTAAGTTGATACAAATTACTTCTGGGTAAGCTATTCGGACTATTTGCTTTATACTGAATTCCAGAATCATTTCGTTGTTACACTTTCAAAAATTTAAATAATGGTCACTTAAAAAAAAATCACCTCTTACTTGCCTTCAGTTACCTAATGAGCTACTAAGAAGTAACAGTTAGTCTTCCTTAAAGCCAATACTGTGGCACAGTACAGAGAAAAAGCAACATTAACAAAACTCTGCATTATCAATAATAACTTGAAAAGCAGTTTTATCAAAATGTTGCAAAGTTCTCCCAAAAGTACTTATAGCAATTTGTATCAAGAAATCCTAAGTTGAGTGGTAGGGAGGAAATGACTGACTTCTTTCAGGTAGAAATTCACCTGTTTTATAATTAGTATATGTTAATTCCCTCCTGAAATCTAAGATATCTGTACATTCAAAAGTTCTTAACTTGTTGTTCTTGAGATAGTTCTCTAATACATACAATGGGTATAAATAAATAACTACAAGAAAGCTTCAAAATCCGAACAAACATTATGTTGTGCAAAAAAAAAACCCAAAAAAACAAAACAAAAAAAACCCAAAAAACAAAAACCAAATCTTGAACAACCTACATTCTATGTAAATACCCTGACTAAAATGTTGGTTGTGCTACACAATTCCACTTCAGCGCAGGAACACGCTGATTTCATGTACCGTTGCTACTGTTTTTAATGTATTCGGCACTTTTGTTTCTAAATATCATCATCTCACTTTGAAAAGATGAATAATTTGCCGCCAAATCACAAATCATCCCACATCCGTTTTTGGCTGCATTTGATCCAATCCAGCACAAACATGTTTCCTTGCTGGGGGAAGAACGGCTCGGTGTCTTTGTCCCAACAGCTTTCTTCCGAAGGATGATCCCAGTAGAAGTAGTCACTTTGGGCTTAAACTGCACAGCAAGAAGAGACCGTGCCGCTTGCTTCTGTTTTTGTTTGTGAAGTCTCCAGGTCTTGCTGGGACTTTTCCTTCAGAGAGCTGCGGCAGCCAGTTCCACCTGAGATGCACTGGGGCTTGCACGTTAGCCAAGTTTGGTGATCTGGAGGTCCCCGTTAATCTTTATGGTGTCAATCGCAGATAACGTTTGAATGCGGTGGTAAAAATCAAAAAGCTGGTGTCCATCCACAAACACCCTGAAACGCGGGTGCTCACAGAGAATTTCCACCTGGAAGAAGCAAAAGACTCATCTTAATTCACTACTTCAGTGAGCCCTGCTGGGGAAGACAAGACTTGATTTGAGAGAAAGGAAGAAACGACATCATCTTGTCGTCTGGTTCTGCGCACACATCACTGGCTCTGCTGAGCGGGTCCAGGGCAGGTCCGAGACGCCGCAGCTCCATCAAGGTCCAAGGTTCTACTGGAGTTGTGGGAACAAACTCTAGAACCAGCGTCTCCCACTATTCAACATTCCTACTCACTGAAAAGCTCCTGAGCTGTAACTGCTCTCCCTCCTCCCTGCACTCCAGGAAGGTGGGATATATGCAGTATAGACTGGTTTACACAGCATCGCGTGCACCTGCTGGACAATTCCATCCTGCCTTCAGAGAAGTCACTTGTGAAGCAGAACTGGTACCCACCAGAGGCATGCTAATGACAGTTTAGACACTCAAGCTTGGAAAACACTACAGCAAACAGAAGGATGTGCAGTAATTACCACGGGACCAAGAATGCGTCATTAATAAGCTTTATTAAGCCAAACAAATACTGATTCCACAAGGTAAAAGCATTTTCCTCTCCTTTTCCTTAACTAATTCACTACAGAGTTTAATTACCAGTTTTGTACTACGATGTATTTATTAAAAGCACTGGTATTTACCACACAAAGAGCGATTCCATATGTGATCTGACTCACATCTAATTCACATTATTACTAAAACTGTACCACCAAGAAGGACCTGCTCCTCACTGATCTCGCTGTTGGGGAGCATATATTCCTCCTGGCACTCACGAGCTAGACACTAAAAACCTCATTCAGAAACTGTCCTAGTGGCACAGCGGGGAAAGCTGTCGCCTGTATGGGTACTTGCTTGGTTCTGGTCCATCCATTTCCATGCCAGCTCCCTGCTAATGGCCCACAAAAAGCAGCAGAAACTGGTGCACATGCTTGGAACCCTGGCACCCATGTGGGAGACAGAAATACAGCTGCTAGCTCCTGGCTATGGCTTGACCCAGCCATGGCCACTGCAGGCATCTGAAAAACTAAACCAGCAGGTGGAAGATCTCCAACTCTTCCTGCAGCTCTTACCTCTCTTACTTACAGACACATAAATCAATTTAAAAACAAACAAACAAAAAGCGGTGCTAGCCAAGAGGAGCACGAAGGCCACAGAAGGGAGTAGAGAAGGAGGATAGGCTGAGTGCCTTCCAAGGCTACAATCAGAACGGCAAGAATTTCATGTCTAACTGCAATGCAGAAGTCACCGATGGTCACCCTCTCTCAGACTACGGAAGGGAAGAAAAACAATGAATTCTTCATAAGGCTCTTCCAATTTTCCAGATGAAGAGCTGCAGGTTAAGGGTGGTCCTGCTTGCAAGGACAGGCAACCGAGTTGTCATGATAGAGATGTGACAGCAAGATGCGAGGAAGACAATACCATCTCCAGTTCTGACACTTCAATACACCCCTTCCACCACCCTCCTGACTCCCGTCCTTCTTAGCAGGAGGTACTGAGGCCTGCCTAGACGGGCAGTTCAGGTTGAGTTCAGGCTGCACTTCCTGTCAACCCACAGTGGGAAGCAAATCTCTATCCATGCCCAGGAGAAGGAATTCCTTAACCACAGAGCTTGCAACCAGGAAACTGATGAGGCGTAATTAACCCAGAGGGAGAGAAACACATGCACAGGAACTCATTGCAAAGGGAACAAGAGAAAATGAAACAATAAAAATCCCTATAAAATTAATCATTAGTAAGGAGCAGAGCTACTTAAAGGCTGAGAAAAGAGCAGGAAAATTCTGACTACGTCATTAATCCAGAGCAGCTGCCCACAGCGGACATCAAGAGCGGACGCCCACAGCCCACATCAGAGTGCCTGGCTTCCATGGCTGCTGGCTCGGGCTCCTGCCTCGCAGTCTTTCTGCCTTTGCAGATCCTTGGAGTCAGTGATGTCGGCTAGGGTGGGCTTCTGCCACCTGTGAGGGACCCCTGCTCCCAGCTCCTGGCCATCAGGGGCACCTGGCGAGTGAGCCAGCGGATGGGAGCTCTATCTGTGTCTCTCAAAGAAATAGTAGCAACCTAAAAATCCAAACTCCAGTTCAAATTAAAAAGAAAAACATTTTAGTCAGTCAGATATTTAGGGGCTGGTACCTACTGGATGCCTACTACTAAGTGGTGTACACACAAAAATATGCTTGACAGCCGGGAGATGTGAATGTTGGTCTGTTAACTCCGTGTCTGGGCCAGACAGAGCAAGTATCCATTTCTATCAGCAAATGTCTCTTTTGGTGTTTCCCACCTCTTTTTATCATCCGGCTAAGTTCCTGGACATGCAGAGAATTTGGCTGCTCAGTGTCCTTGGCACACACTAGAGTAGAACGGCCTCCCTGTGCCAGCGGCCGGGGCTGAGGCACGCAGGGTACTCACTCTGAACGGCTGGTCTGGGATGAATGGGAAGTACGGGATTGCCGACTGCTCCTCTCCCCTCTCTCCGGAAATGCAAGAATTTCTGAGCAGCTGCCGGTCTGTGAACACAGCCTTGAGCTCGATGGCCACATCGGCGGGAGGATCTTCTGAGTCACCGCAGGTCAGGCTGATGGCAAAGCTGCAAAGAAGAGCCGGCTCTACCAACTCTGCACTCACTCACCCAACTCCTCCCCCTCCTCTGGGTTCCAACAGGCCACACCAAACAAATCAGGGCATTCTGTTATCGAAAGCAGCCTCCACCAGGCACTTCGACGGGGTTGAAAATGACCACAATGAGAGATTTCAAATACTCCCAAGCCATCACATATGTGTGTCTTAATCCATTTCAGAATCCTCAGAAACTGGGAGGAAAATAACATCTTTGGCTCTTCTTATGCTGGTAGTTCTTACTCTCCAAGCACCATGTTTCAAAACCAGAAAAAAAGGAAAAAAAAAAAATTCTTGGGCCTCCCTAAGGGTCAGAGAGAAAATGTGGGCCTATATTTATCATCTCTGATATAAATAGCAGTCTGGGATTCATACACATTCTTTTCATGGGAACATGGTACTTTCTTGGCACTCCCACCCAGCAACACTGTCCAAAGCTGAGGACAGAAGCTGAACCCTGGCCCAGGACAGGAGCTGGCAGGAGGGCCACCGTGTGAAGGCTCCCGGGGCCACTGGCCCAGCCCTTACCTCTCAGGGTTGAGATCTACAATGCCCATCACTAACACCTTCTTGCCGGGTCTCATGCCACCTTTAATGTGTCCACAAAATGGAACTATCTGCAAAGGAAGAGAGATATAAAGTTTGCAGGTTGGCCCTCTGGTGCTGAGAACCCGAACCATTAGGAAACGCACTCCGCGAGAGCAGGGGGCAGGTAATCATTTACCAGTCGTGGGAAGTACACTTCGGCTTGAACCGGAGAGCCCAAGGAGTTGTTGAAATGCCCATCATCTAGTTTCTAAAGATAGAAGCACACAGATTGGCTTTCCGCCCCACCCCTGCCTCTTTTCTTGGGGTGGGGGGGGCGGGAGGGAGAGAGACAGAGGCAAGAACCTATACAAAGCCAGCAGCCCTCTCCCCGAGTCTGCAGACAACGCCTAACACCCCCCACCCCACCCCCAACAAAACCCGTCCCCTCCAACCCTGCAGCTAAGCTTCTGGAGAGCCGCAGACCCTGCCCTGCAGAGCTGGATCAAAATCCAGGTCGAGGTCCACTGGGGGGTGGAAAGGGGGAGAGACGGGCGGAGTCAGAGCCTCCTCTGCCGGAGGTGGGCAGGCCCCGTCGCCAACCCCCAAAGCTCCAGAAACCGCGGGCGTCCAGGCAGGCCCGTGCTTGGGGACGTGGCTGAAGTGCAGCGACAGGCGCTCAACTTCTCTGGGCAAGCACCCCCCCAGCGCGGCGGTTCCAGAGGGGGGAATCCCCGGGACGTCGGGGGGCCTGGCGGACACACTCCGGGGCGCGCGTCCCGGACACACTCGCCGGCGCGCACTCACACGTGCCCCGTGCACACACACACCTGGCGGGCTGCAGCTGCCCGCGCCGCCCGCTCTCCGCTGCGCCCCCCGGCACGGTGCCCCCAGCAGGGGAGCCGCCCCCGGTCCCCGCCCTCCACTACTACCCCACGGCCGCGTGCCGCGCGGCGGGTGCCAGCTCGCAGGTACCGGGCGCCTTCCCAAGCGCGGGGCCTGCGGCTTCTCCCAAGCCCCAGCCGAGGCCGGTACACGAGCGGCGGGAAAACCGGGGGCCCTCGAGCGCGCCCCGCCACACACACTCACCACCACCGCATCACTGTCAGCCACCGATCCCGCCATGTTCCCGCACGGCGCGGCGAGGCGCGCGGCAGGCGCCCTGGCCAAGGAGGAGGAAGGTGGGACGCGGCGCGCGCGGGCGGGGATCCCGGGGCGGCCGAGCGCCGAGCGGAGGCGCGGGTCCGAGGCGGCGGCGCGGGCGCGCACACAGGCGAGTGCGCGCGCGCGCGAGCGCACGCCCGGGGGGCCGCGGCGCCGACCCGGCAGGCAGGGCCTGGGGAGGAGGGGGAGGGGAGGCGAGGGGAGGGGCAGCGCGGGCCGGGAGGTCGAAGGTGGCCGCCGCCGCTGCTGTTGCTGCTGCTGCTGCTGCTGCTGCTGCTGCCGGGTCGGGGCTGGCGCTGCTGCGGCTGTGCTGCGAGCGCCCGAGGAAGGAAGGTGTCCGGGGCCGAGTCGCGCCGTCCCTGGGCGGCATTTAAAGGCCGCTGGCGCCCGGCTCGGGAACCGGGAACAGGGCGGGGACCCGACTGCTCTGCCGCGGCTTGCTTAGCTGGCCCTGCCCTTCGGCCATTGGACCGTGGCTGGAGGCCGGGCCTGTCCCGGTCGGGGCGTGCTGCAGGGCGGGGACCCTGTTGACTGGAGGCGGGTGGGGCTGGTGGTCCGGGCGAAGCGAGGAGGACCCGGGCCTGCCAGGTGACAGGTGCTTGTGCCCGCCCCGCCCCTCGTGCCCGGCCACCTGACCATCGCACTCCGTCCTTCTGCAGCCGCTTCCTGGGTGGGGATAATTGGGGGGGTGGGGCGAGACTCGGTGGGATTTGCATCGGAGAATGCCAACAAAGTGGAAGGAATGATACAGCCTGCGCTCCGGAGTGGAAAGAGGATGAAAGGTTATAGGGTCTTGCAGAAGTAATTATTTGGCACAAAGAAAGAGAGGACTCAAAGGAAAGAGGACTTTTCTATCTCAGGAGGCAGAAGAGACCTCTCAGTTGCTTGTGGAAGGATTTGCAGGGCTGGGGACGCCAGAAGCTCTCCAGGGCAGGGGTCTGGTTAAGCCTCTTAGATAAGGTGGCTGTCCTCAAAGAATCCCCACTGAGCCCTGCTTTAAAAAACTAAAAATCCAGCCGCTTGCTCAATCTGGGGCAGTACATTTCTTCCTGCACACCCCCCTAGGACGTCGGTGGAGTAAGTCCCAAAGGGACCCACTCCTTGTTTATTCCCAGGCACAAATTCCTTTACAGCATTTCCCCATTTGGATGATTATGTAACCTCACAGATAAAGCTGTATCACCGTCCCCTCTATTAGGTGACATCCTTGGCTTCAATAGTCCATATGTGATTCAGCAGGGCGTTCTAATTAGCAGGGAGCCTGTGTGACCTGCCATCCCAGAGGGACCTACGAGGCTGCCTTCCAGCTGCTGTTCCTGGCTGTGTGACCTGGGACTTCCTTGTGGCTTGTCTGTCTTCCCTTTATGGACCAGAGCTAATCGAGATAATCCCAGTGGTGCAGGGAGTGTGACCTGCCCACGGCTGCAGGTTGTAGTCATAGCCTTTGTCCAGGCGATTGTCACAAGTGAAGAGTGGCACAGTTGTGGCTTGCGTTTTTTTGCTCTTGCTGGCCAGTCTTGGCTCAAACTCACACTGGATTATTTAAAAATACTAGACAAGCGCCGGCTCTGCGGTGTAACAGGTTAAGCCATGAAGTGCAGCACTGGCATCCCATACAGGCACTGGTTCGAATCCCAGCTGCTCCTCTGCTAAGGTGCCTAGGAAAGCAGTGGAAGACGGTCCAAGTGCTTGTGGCCCTACATCCATGTAAGAGACTCAGAAAAAACTGCTGGCTCCTAGCTCCTGGCTCCAGCCTGGTCCAGTCCCAGTCATTGCAGCCATTTGGGGAGTGAAATGGAGATGGAAGAACTCTTGTCTCTCCTTTTCTCTCTGTAAATCTGCCTTTCAATAAAAATAAATCTAAAAATATATTAGGCAGTTAAGATGAGATTTGGGAAGCGTATTTTTTGGTATACCGTAGTTTCTGAGAGCTCAGTATGGGGGAAAAGCATTAAAGTGATTCCTTGTCATTAGCTAAGCCAAGACTGACACAGTGCATCACGGTAGGGAGCCAGTGCCCTAGGTTAGAATCCTGGCTGTGCTATTGACTAGCTGGGTAATCTTGGGAAAGTTACCAAACTTGTCTGCGGCTTAATTTCTTCATCTGTGAACCAGAGATGATAGTGATGCTGATGATCATATCGGTCTTGGTTTATTGAGAAGGCTAAATAAATTAATTCCCACACCTGCCTTCAGACAGTGTCTGGCACCTGGTAAGCCCTAACTCTACAACAAAGTTCAGACAACCTGCCATTTATCAGGCACTGGGCAAGGGTGGTGGGGGAGGAACATGATCAATCAACGAATGCATGGGAGGTAGTGAACTTGTTGGGAAAGAACCAGGCAGGTTTGGGAGTGAGTTAAGAGGGACAGGCCGGTGGTATTGATGTTGGTAGGGTACTCATGGAGACACCTCTGGGAAAGGAGTGTCTTTGAGAAGGAAGAATCTCAAGGAAGGTGGGAGCCATGGAGACTTCTGGAAGAACTTGCTTAGTGGAATGGATGGAAGAGTTGAGTCCATAAGGTGGAGTGAGTGAGGAAAGTATTGTGGCCGAAGAGATGACTAGCTGAAAATGAGTGAGCCTTGAGGCTCATGCTGGCTAGGCCTCTGCCTGTGGCACCCATATGGCACCAGTTGGCGTCCTGCCTGCTGCACTTCCATTTGAGTTCCCTGGGAAAGCAGTGGAGGACAGCCCAAGTTCTTAGGCCTCTGCACCGTGTGGAAGACCTGAAGAAGCTCCTGGCTCCTGGCTTTAGACCAGCCCAGTTCTGGCAGTTGTGGCTATTTGGAGAGTGAACCAAAAGATGAAGATTCTCTCGCTTTCTGTCTCTCTTTTTCTCTCTCTCTCTTTGTAACTCTGCCTTTCAAATAAAAATAAATCTTTGAAAAAAAATAAATGAATGAGCCTTCCATAGTTAGGTTCACTTTTGCTCTGGGTGAGGGGAAGACTTGGAAGTGTCTGAGAAAAGGAGTGACATAGTTTGGCTTCTTTGTGGATGTATCCCTCTGGCTGCCACAGAGTGGCCTTGGTGAGAGGAGGTTCCATGGGAGGGAAGCAGACACAGGACGTGGGAGACCCCAGCCCAGGCCAAGCAAGATGGAACACCGCGTGGAAACATAAAGAAGTGAGAAGCCACAGGCCCTTGTCTAGACCTAGCTATTGTCATTATGTGGCTGTGAGAGTTCATATTGCCATCTGAGCCCCAGTTTCCTCCCTTGCAAAATTAGGTTCATTCATCATTTCCTCTTAGTGATTAGAAGAATTCTGCTGGTTCCTAAAAAACTGTATAAATACCATCTGATTTTAAATGAATTTCACAGGAAGTGCTGCTGAGTGATACTCTTGGGTTGAGTCTTGTGATAGTGATTTTATAGGGTGAAGAACAACCCTTTGATTTGTTTTGTAAATTGAGTTTAAAGACACCTGGATGGCATAGATGAGTGTCTTGCATCCTGTATATGCAAAGTCTAAGAAGATACTACATTTGCTCAGAATACTTTAACTTGGAAAATCACCTTTTATTCCAGAAATACTCGATTCTTTCCCAATCTGTGAATGGGTTTGACTGTGGAGGCATACAGCAAACTTAAATGAAATTTTTAATGTAAGTAAATGCTGAGCAGGGTCAAGTAGCCTCTTACATGGAAAAGCTATTAGCAAATTAGTGGCTTAGGGATCTTAAATATTTTAAGATTATATAGTGAAGGCGAGGCACATTCTTGCTGTATGCTTTGATTATGGGCATTTATGTCTAAAATATTGTTAACCAAGATCAGGCAGTGGCACTCGTTTGTGAAAGCAGCAGTGAACACATATGATGAATGGCGTCACTACTGGAAACCACTAGAAAGGCTGAGGAAGGGAGAAGGCAAACATATATCAGCTTTGAAAAACCTATACAGGGTCTGAGGAAGGATTTTTAACATTGTCTTCTGAGATGATAATATGTAGTAGATCACTCATGTGTGATCCGAACACATGCAGGCAGAAGGCTGTGTGTCTGGAGAATAAGAACCGTTGCCCGTTCAGCAACCATCCTAGCAGTATTGCTGTTTGTCATGTCACCATGGCACAGAGAGCAACCAAACTGCATGAGGGACCCTTTCCAGCAAGGGTGACCTGCAAGGACCCCTCCCCGCAGGTCTAGACCCCTGAAACTGGCTTTCTGATCTTGAGAGCTGTGCATATTTTGCCTTCTGCTCTACAACATCATCTTGTCTGTTTTGCCGTACACATAATGTGTGTCCCAGAGTTGGTCATCAAGTTAATAAAGCTTCTCCAAGATTACCTGACTCCCTCCCCAGCTCGGCCCCCACTGGAGGGTGGTCATGGCTCACCCTGAGAAGTAACAAGCTGTGCAGTGGTACGGGCCCTCCAGGCTTTTGGGCCAACTTCTGTCAAATGAGGGGCTCCCACAGGCAGCAAAATATGCAAACTCAGCAGTCTTCCATGTCCTTACTTGGATAAGAGGGCATACTTTAACCGCTTTTCTGCATTTTGGAATTTGGCTATAGTTTTTAATTATTTGAGGCCACAGCTATCTAATTATTTACACACACACACACACACACACACACACACACACACACACATTTGTGTTCTACCCAAGTAATTATGGGGCAGTCATAAAACTTGGCTGCCCATGCTGGTTCTGAAGATTTCACTCGTTCTGGTTTATTTATGAGGAAACCAGAACCAGCCTCCTGTTTGCATTTTAATTACTGAGCAGAGGGAGGATAGATTTCAAACAACCTCCAGCTTAAGACCATAATAGTGATAACAAGGAGCCCATTCTCAGGGGACACCTTCACTCCCCGGAGATGCCGCCCGTGCGTCCTTTGGGGTCTGAAGTCCTGGCAGGAGCACCAAGCCAAGCGGCCGGCCAGCAGTGTGTGAGCAGGTGGCATGAGTGAAGGCCACTTTCAGGGTTTTCCAGCCAGGCCTTGTGTGTCTGCTGAAGCTGCCAGGTCCTCATTGGTATTTCCAAGTCTCACCTTTAGGCAATTCAAGAGGCTTTGTCACTCAGCCAGTCTGTTACCCAGAAGGAATGTGACAAGCCTGGGAGGAGGTGCCCCTGGCCTAATTAGGCTCCTGTCATTGTGCTT